GCCACCCCGACCAGCTCCGCCTCCTCTGCCGCCGCCTCCTCCTCCGCCGCCACCTCCGCCACCTTTGCTCCCACCGCCACCGCCGCCTCCGCCTCCGCCTCCACTGCCGCCACCGACACCTCCACCCCCGCCTCCACTCCCACCACCACCCCCACCCCCTCCACTGCCTCCACCGCCACCTCCGCCACCCCCGCCAGCCCCTCCAGCGCCCTTGCCCCCCTTGCCCTTGCCGCTGCGGCGTTTCCCGCTCGGGGCAGACGCAACGCCGACCGACTCGAAACCAACGAGGTCAACCGCAGCAGCAGAGGCAACAGAGGGCAAATGGGGGGAGGGGGAACACCCCTCAAAGACGGGGGTGCGAGGGTCACCACGAGAGGCTCCTACAGCAACTATGCTCTTCTCTGCTGCCAGGAGGGCCTTCTCAAGGAGGACAACGGTGAGAGTGGTGGGGCAAACAAAGAGAAAGTGGTCCCTGACTACGCGGAGGGAGTCAGGGAGCCGGGCGACTATATAGTAGAGGGTGATGTACATGGGGGGGGGGTTCTTGGCGCAGAACTCAGCAGGAAGCGCAGCGCGGTAGCGAGTGTCACTAGTGCGGAGGTGTGTAATGAGGTCAGTGACTGTGGGAAAGGCAGCAAGGTCAGGGAAGAGGTACGGTAGCATGAGGCGGCTCAGTGCAGCAGTGGCAGGGGAGGAGTAGCGTGCAACTACAGCGTCGTACAAGGTCTGAGCACTCTTGTACTGGCTAAAGTGCGCACGCTCAGAGGTAGGCAGGTGGCGACGCACAGCAAGACGTGCAGCAGCATCGCGTGTGGCCCACTGTGAGCGAACAGTGGCGTCAGCATCAGCAACAGGGGCAGGCGAGGCACCAGAGGTGAGGTCAAAGAGGGAGAGACCGTCTGCCCTATCGCACTGTAAGAAAAGCTGCAGGTCATCTACCCAGACGTCAAAGTCAATGGCCCGACCCTCAGCGTCAAAAGCGAGGACACTAGGGGTAGCCATGACAGCAGTAGACTAGCAGCGCGAACAGTAGGGTAAGGGCAGTGCAGTGACAGAGGCGCTGCTCTTACCGGACAGGGCGGCTCGGGCGGCTCGGCGCTGCGGGCGGCTCGGCTGCAGGGCAACTCGGCGGCTCGGCTGCTGGGCGGCTCGGCGGCTCGGCGGCTCGGCTGCTCGGCTACTGGGCGGCTCGGCGGCTCGGCGGCTCGGCTTCTCGGCTGCTGGGCGGCTCGGCGGCTCGGCTGCTGGGCGGCTCGGCGGCTCGGCTGCTGGGCGGCTCGGCGGCTGGGCTGCTGGGCGGCTCGACGACGGCGGCTCCTGCCTCAGGGACGGCGGCGGCCGGCCGCTAGGGGCCGCGAAGGGCGGCGGAGGGGCCGTGAAGGGCGGCACTAGGGGCCGCCGAGGGCGGCGACGGGCCGTGAGGAGGCCGCGGTAGCGGCTCGAGGGGCCGCGAGGGGGCCGTAAGGGGCCGACGGGCGGGCCCGTAAGGGTAGGGTGAGGGGCCATAAGGGCGGCGCGACGGGCGTGACGGGCCTGAAGGGCGGCACGAGGGGCCGTAAGGGCGGCGCGACGGGCCGCAAGGGCGGCGCGACGGGCCGCAAGGGCGGCGCGACGGGCCGTAAGGGCGGCGCGACGGGCCGTAAGGGCGGCGCGAAGGGCCGTAAGGGCGGCGCTAGGAAGCCGTGAGAGGGCCGCTAAGGGCGACGCGACGGGGCCGTGAGGGGCCTAGCGAGGGCGCGACTCGGGCCTGAGCGAAGCGCGCTCCAGGCAGGAAAAAAAAATTCGTGGTGGTGGGCCCTAGGAATCGTTCCCACTAGGGAACCTGCTCGATACCATGAGAAGAAACGAGGAATGATTGAACTATGAAACAGTTGGGTACAAGTAGTAACCCTAATTGGGTTGTACCCCTTATAGGCTACCCCACTACAGCATACGCAAATGTATAAGCTATAATGTTCTGACAGTGGAATGCGCATTTGTGTACTGATCATTTTTGCGTTTACGGTTTGTAAATCACCTTTGCGGTTCATGAGTTATGTGCATTTTAGTGTGAGGTTGCATTCATGTGTTTTCATGATTGTTCGTGTGAATTTCGTGTTGTTCGTATCGTGTCATGAATGTGCGTGAAGTTCCGAGTGCTCATGTGCTTTCGTGAGCCTTCGCGTGTTCATGTCTGTTCGCGTGCTGTTCGTGCAAGCTTCTTGAGCGTTCATGTGTTTTCGCGTTCGTTCATGTGCGCTCATGTTTGCTCATGACTGTTTGTGTTTCATTCCAGAGTGTTCCTGGTTTGTTCATGAGTTTTTCATGAGTGTTCATGGTGAGTGTCGAGTGTGCCGGGGAGTGGGACTCGAGTTTTGACCGACCCTTTGACTTTTCTCGCGCGAGTCAAAGGCGCGAAAGTCAGGACCCGCGCGTGGGGTCCTGACACACGCGTGTGGCCTGACAGAACATGCGCGTGTGTCGCCACTGTTTTAATCGTGAACTGTAGGCACAATCGCTACACAACGAAGCGACATGATCGCCTCGTCACGTGTAGGACAACGCACGATCGCGTCAGCGGTTGTTTTGTCCTTCAAGACCGAGAAATATCTCGATCGTGATGAGGGGCACGTGGGGCACTCGAGATTGCGGTTGACTAACAGGATTTCGCGCTGACTTGGCGTGCACGAAAGTTCGCCAGAAAGTCGCGCTGCTTTGCGTTATTATTTCGACAAAGGTACAAAATGGTAAAGTCAGTTTGTAACTGAAAAACGGCATTCTCACACGAGCGTTCATGATCGCACACGAGTAAACATGAATGTTCGCGAGGAGAGTCGGCAGGAGAATTTGGCAGCAGTACAGGTTGAAGACAGTTATTCTACAGAGGCAAAGAAGCCAAATTCAAGCGCAGTTAAACAACCGTTTTGAATGACAGCAAGGCGAAGACCTGAAGTAAAGTTAAACAACTGCTTTGTGCTTTCTTATGCTTGTGTGCTAGGCGAAATATAAATGCGTGCTTGTGTTCAGCTGTGATCAATCCTTTGAGTGAATATTTTGCTCTATCATCGTATTGACGCGAAGAGCTGATTCTGCATACGAGCCAATTCGTCGTCAACGCTGCGCAAACTGAGTTTGGGAGCGTTCTATTGCACACGACCGAATTTACACTTAGTGCGTCCCTCGACAAACACGGACCCTTGGTTAGGGGCTGGCTTTGCCGGGCACCTGAGGACCCTTGGAGGTGACCCCGTGGGGACCAACTAAGTGGTAATTAAAGGTGTGCTTAGAGCTTCTAGATCCCAATAGTAGTCAACATGTGGTATCAAAGCTGAGGATTGGACGTATTGCCGTTAGAACATTATGGAGTCGGGCGACAAAGAAGGTTCTATTGCACGAGCTGATAGTGTAGTCCAAGATACTGTGGCTCAGCACCAAGGAGAGTGCGGGTCGGCCAGGGCTCTCTATTGAAGGAGGTGTTGAAGAACTTCGTCGTCGACAAGTTCAACGGCAACAACTACGACGATTGGGCGTGGAAAATGCAGCTGTATTATCGGCAAGTGGGCGTGTTGAAGCTGATGACGGGAGTGGAGAAGAGTCCGGACGACGTCAACCTGCAAGAGGAGTGGGACGTGTCAGAACATATATAGCTTATACTTTTGTGTAGGCTATAGTGGGGTATCCCATAGGGGGTACAACCCAATTAGGGTTAGTACTTGTACCCAGTTCATTCATAGTTCATTCATTCTCGTTTGCATTTCCTCATGGTATCGAGCAGGTTCCCTCGTGGGAACTGTTCCTAGGGCCCACCAACAGATTTTTTTCCTGCCCGGGGCGCGTCCTGTCCCCCCCCCCTGCCCGAAGCGCGCCTGCCCTGGCGGCGGCCCCTAGTGGCCCGTCGCCCTTTCTGCAACGGCCCGCTGCCGCCCTTTGCGGCCCGCCGCCGCCCTTTCCTTAGCGGCCCGCCGCCGCCCTGAAGCGGCCCGCCGCCGCCCTTCCCTTAGCGACCAGCAGCCACCCGCACTGCAGCGGCCCGTCGCCGCCCTAACCAGGCCCGCCGCCGCCCACGCTGCAGCGGCCCGTCGCCGCCCTAACCAGGCCCGCCGCCGCCCGCGCTGCAGCGGCCCGTCGCCGCCCTAACCAGGCCCGTCGCCGCCCTGACCAGGCCCGTCGCCGCCCTTCCCGCAGCGGACCACCGCCGCCCTACGCGGCCGACCGCCGCCTGTTCTGCAGCGGCCCGCCGCCGCCCTAAGCGGCCTGTCGTAGCCGGTTCTGCAGCAGCCCGCCACAGCCCTAAAGCGGCCCGTCGCCGCTCGTTCTGCAGCGGCCCGCCGCCGCCCTAAAGCGGCCCGCCGCCGTCCTACAGCGGCCCGTCGCCGCCCTGCTGCGGCTCGCCGCCGCCCTTTCCGCAGCGGCCCGTCGCTGCCCTAAGCGGCCCGCCGCTGTCCTTCTGCGGCCCGCCGCTGCCCGTTCTGCAGCGCTCAGTAGCCGCTCTACACCGGCCCGCCACCTCCCTTTCAACAGCGGCCCACCGCCGCCCTCAAGCGGCCTCGTCGCCGCCCTTTCCGCAGCGGCTCGCCGCCGCCCTAAGGCGGCCCTCCAGCGGCCCGTCGCCGCTCTTTCTGCTGCGACCCGCCGCAGCCCTAGCGCGGCCCGTCGCCGCCCCACTCTACAGCGGCCTCACCGCCTCTCGCCCTGCAGCGGCACTACCGAGCAGCCGAGCCGCCCAGCAGCCGAGCCGCCCAACAGCCAAGCCGCCCAACAGCCGAGCCGCCCAGTAGCCGAGCCGCCCAGCAGCCGAGCCGCCCAGCCGAGCAGCCCAGCAGCCGAGCCGCCCAGCAACCGAGCCGCCCAGCAGCCGAGCCGCCCAGCAGCCGAGCCGCCCAGCAGCCGAGCCGCTCTGCAGCCGAGCCGCCGAGCCGCCCTACTTCCGACCTGCCTGAGCTGCCCAGTCTGGTGAGCACGGTCCCTCTTTCACTGCACTGCCCTCACCCTACTGCTTTCACTGCTGGTCCACTGTCGTCATGGCTACCCCCAGTGTCCTAGCTTTTGATGCTGAGGGGAGGGCCATTGACTTCAAGGTCTGGGTAGATGATCTACAGCTGTTCTTACAGTGCGATAGGGCAGACGGTCTCTCTCTCTTTGACCTCACCTCTGGCGCGTCCCCTGCCCCTGCTGCTGATGCTGACGCAACTGTTCGTTCCCAGTAGGCCACGCGCGATGCTACTGCACGTCTTGCTGTGCGTCGCCACCTCCCTACCTCCGAGCGTGCACACTTTAGTCAGTACAAGAGTGCTCAGACCTTGTACGACGCTGTAGTTGCACGCTACTCCTCCCCTGCCACTGCTGCACTGAGCCGTCTCATGCTGCCGTACCTCTTCCCTGACCTTGCTGCCTTTCCCACAGTCGCTGATCTCATTACGCACCTCCGCACTAGTGACACTCGCTACCGCGCTGCGCTTCCTGCTGACTTCTGCGCCAAGAACCGCCCCCCCCCATGTACATCACCCTCTACTTCATAGTCACCCGCCTCCCTGACTCCCTTAGAGTAGTCAGGGACCACTTCCTAGCTGTGTGCCCCACCACCCTCACCATTGACCTCCTCGAGAAGTCCCTCCTAGCGGCGGAGAGCATAGTCGCTGTAGGAGCTTCTCGTGGTGACCCCCGCACCCCTGTCTTTGAGGGGTGTTCTCCCTCCCCCCTCTTGCCCTCAGTCGCTTCTGCTGCTGCTGCTGCTGCCGACCTCGTTGGTTTCGAGCCGGTCGGCGCTGCGTCTGCCCCTTCGGGGAAGCGCCGTGCAGGCAGGGGCAAGGGGGGCAAGGGCGCTGGAGGAGCTGGCGGGGGCGGTGGAGGTGGCGGTGGAAGCGGCGGAGGGAGTGGGGGTGGTGGAGGGAGTGGTGGAGGGGGTGGGAGTACCGGTGGCACCAATGGGGGTGAAGGGCGGCGGCGGTGGCGGAGGGAGTGGAGGCGGTGGTGGTGGCGGAGGCGGCAGCAGTGGTGGAGGCGGCAGTGGTGGCGGCGGAGGAGGCGGAGGAGCTGGTCGCGGGTCTACGCAGAGGAGTGGCTCCAGTGGTGGTCCGCGCCAGCAGCAGCAGCGTGGTCATGAGACCCTGTCCCCTCAGCAGCTCCGTGAGTGGTACACTGCACGCCAGCGGGGTGGGGGTTTTGGTCCGTGCACCTACGTCCTGCGCACTGGCGACCGTGCGGGTGAGCAGTGTGGGGGTGCGCACCCCACCCAGCGCTGCTTTGGCCGCCTGACGGACGCGTGGCGTCACCAGTTCCATGAAGCCACAGAGATCCCTCACTGGGGCGAGCTGTCTAGGGCGGGAGTAGCCATCTATGATCTTGATTTTGATGCTATCTTGTCTGCCATGCATTCTGTGACTATTAGTGATGAGGGTGACTGTTACCGGTGTTTCCCGCCCGATCCGGGCATTGAGACTGCTGCTCTAGATACTGGTACGGTTGCTGCCCTAGGTGCTTGCGACGCTGCTGTGCTTGGTGCTAGTGAGTCTGCGTCCTCAGGTACTGGTGAGTCTGCGCTCTCAGGTACTGCGTCGGCTTCGGCCTCCCTCCCCTTCCCCCGGGGCCTGGCCCTTCCTGTGTCCCCTGTGTCGAGGGGCGCCAGAGGGCTGCCCCTCACTCCTCTCAGTTTCCACCGACAGAGGCCCCGCTGCAGACGCTTCACATGGACGTGTGGGGCCCAGCCCACGTCCGTGGACAGGGTCACGAGGGCTACTTCCTGCTTGTTGTTGACGACTAGTCGCGTTACACCGCAGTCTTCCCCTTGTGCAGCAAGGGTGATGTCACTGAGGTACTGATCGACTGGATCCGCGCAGCTCGTCTCCAGCTCAGGTAGAGCTTTGGCTCGGACTTTCCTGTTCTGCTTCTGCACTCGGACAGAGGCGGAGAGTTTTCCTCTGGCCTTCTGAGAGCCTACTGTCGCGCACGAGGCATCCGTCAGACCTTCACGCTTCCGGACTCTCCGCAGCAAAATGGGATCGCGGAGCGCCGCATTGGCATGGTCATGGACGTCGCTCGTACGTCCATGATGCATGCGGCTGCTCCCCATTTTTCTGTGGCCATTTGCGGTGAGGTACGCGGCGCATCAGATCAACCTCCACCCCAGAGTCTCCAGGCCGGAGACCTCCCCAGCCTTGCTGTGGACGGGGAAGGTTGGCGAAGAGTCGGCGTTCCGGGTCTGGGGATCTCGGGCGTTTGTCCGCGACTTGTCTGCGGACAAGCTGTCCCCTCGTGCTCCTCCTTGCGTCTTCCTGGGGTTTCCCCCTGACGCGCCTGGGTGGCAGTTCTACCACCCCACCTCTCGCCGTGTTTTGTCCTCCCAGGACATCACGTTTGACGAGTCGGTCCCCTACTACCGTCTCTTCCCCTACCGCACTCCGTCCCTACCCCCACCCCCGCTCTTCCTTGTCCCAGGATCCCCCCCGGTAGAGCCCCTCCCCCCTCAGGGTCCTGCCCCTTCAGGTGTGTCCCAGGTAGACGCAGTCGAGCCTGTCGAGGTCACTGGTGACTCTGGTGCTGCTGAGGGTGCTGAGCCTGGGGGTGCTGCGACTGGGGGTGTTGAGCCTGGGGGTGCTGAGACTGGGGGTGCTGAGCCTGGGGGTGCTGCATCTGGGGGTGCTGCGACTGGGGGTGCTGAGCCTGGGGGTGCTGAGCCTGGGGGTGCTGCGACTGGAGGTGCTGCGCCTTGGGGTGCTGAGCCTGGGGGTGCTGCGACTGAGGGTGCTGAGCCTGGCGGTGCTACGCCTGGAGGTCCTCCGGGGGCTTCGTCTCGCCGGGAGCCACTCTCTCCGCCGGAGCTGCGCGAGTGGTTTGCCCGGCGCTGGAGCCGTGCTGCTGGAGCTGGAGGTTCTTCGGCTGCTGAGGGTGCTAGTGCCGCGGGTCCCGGAGGTGCTCGTACTAGGAGTACTGGAGCTGCTGGGCCTGCGTGTTCGCCTGGAGCTGGTGCTGCTACGGGCGTTGGTGCTGCGCCTACTGCTCGCGGTACTGCTGGAGGTTCTGGAGCTGTTCGAGGTGCTCTTGGAGCGAGTGCTCCTACTGGGGGTACTGGTGCTGTCCCTGCTGTGTCTGGCATCGCCGCGCGGCCTCAATCGTACTTTGTTCCACTCCTGCAACAGGTTCTCGGTCTTCCGCCTTCTACAGGTCCTCCTCCTTCTTTAGAGTGTCCACACCTTTCCAGTCACAGCTACAGTTACAGCCTGCCTCCCCACTACCTGCTCCCTCTCCCTACACTGGTCCTACTGGAGGTCTTGCTGAGCGCCGTGAGCCTGCGTCTCGTCCTGCGTCGCCTGTTCGTGCTGCTCGCACTAGTGGTCGCGGTTCGCGTCAGCGTCCTCCTCCTGACCCTTGCATGCACCAGATGTCTCTGCGTCCGTCCACTGCTCCCCTGCATGCCCCTTTGCCTTCTCCTCCTGCGTCCTCTCTTCCTACTCTTGCCGACCCGGAGTCGGACTCTCTTCGTGCTGCCAGTCCTACTGTCACGCGTCTCCTTGCTACTATCGTTGCTGGCCCTTCCTTTGAGTCCTCTGCTGCGTCTGCCCTAGTACCTGAGCTCGTCAACTTTGCTGCTCGCTGTCGCCTAGACTACGCCGCTAGTCTTGTCGCTGAGTCTGAGTCTGTCTGTCCTCCGTCCGTCGTGGGTGAGTGTGCCCTTGGCACGGACGTCCTTGAGGACAGGCAGGAGGAGTTCCAGTGTCTGGCTGCTGCGTCACCTCATCTCGTGTCCGTACTGCTTACCCCTGAGGGAGACCCGGATGCACTTGACATCCCGACTCCGCGCTCTTACGCGGAGGCGATAGAGGGTCCCTACTCTTCTCAGTGGCAGGCAGCTATGGATGCAGAGATGGGTTCCTAGAAGTCTACAGGCACCTACGTTGACGCTGTTTCCCCTCCTGGGGCGAACATCGTCAGTGGCATGTGGATTTTCAGGGTGAAGCGGCCGCCGGGTTCTCCGCCTGTCTTCAAGGCACGGTACGTGGCTCGTGGCTTCAGTCAGCGGCAGGGAGTTGACTACTTTCAGACCTTCTCTCCCACCCCGAAGATGACCACTCTTTGGGTGCTACTACACGTTGCTGCTCACCGTGACTACGAGCTGCACTCCCTCGACTTCAGCACAACTTTCTTGCAGGGCAGCCTGCACGAGGAGATCTGGCTGCGTTGCCCACCTGGCTTCACTGGGTCGTACCCTCCTGGTACCCAGTGGAGCCTTCGGCGTCCAGTTTACGGTCTCCGCCAGGCGCCCCGTGAGTGGCACGACACACTGAGGACTACACTTGCGGCTCTTGGGTTTGCTCCTTCTACTGCCAACCCGTCGCTGTTTCTGCGCACCGACACCTCTCTGCCGCCTTTCTACATCCTCGTGTACGTCGACGACTTGGTCTTTGCCACTGCTGACACTGCTGGACTCGCCTACGTGAAGTCCGAGCTGCAGAAGAGACACACGTGCACAGACCTGGGTGAACTGCGCAGCTACCTTGGCTTGCAGATCACCCGGGACAGAGCACGCCGCACCATTACCCTGACTCAGTCACACATGGTGCAGCAGGTCCTTCAGCGCTTCGGCTTCACGTACTCCTCGCCTCAGGCCACTCCTCTGCCTACTCGCCACTCACTCTCAGCTCTGCCTTCGGTTGAGTCCGTAGAGTCGAGTGGCCAGTATCCAGAGCTTGTTGGCTGCCTCATGTACCTGATGACCTGCACACGACCTGACCTTGCATACCCTCTTAGCATTCTGGCACGCTAAGTTGCTCCTGGGAGACACCGACCAGAGCACATGGCTGCAGCGACGAGGGTGTTGCGCTACTTGTGCAGTACGTCGGGCATGGGGCTAGTGCTTGGAGGGCGCAGTCCAGTGGTCCTCACTGGGCACGCAGACGCTTCCTGGGCTGACGACCAGGTTACACAGCGGTCGTCACAGGGTTACACCTTCAGTCTTGGTTCCGGCTCTGTCTCGTGGCGGGCTACTCGCTCGTCTTCTGTTCTCGGCTCCAGTTGTGAGGCTGAGATCTACGCCAGGGCCATGGCTGCACAGGAGCTTCGCTGGCTCACCTACCTGCTGACCGACCTTGGAGAGCCGCCTCGTTCTCCTCCAGTTCTGTACGTAGACAACAAGGCCATGCTGGCCTTGTGTCGAGAGCAGCGACTGGAGCACAGAACAAATCACATTGCTCTTCGCTACTTCCTTGCTCGTGAGCTACAGCAGCGTGGATAGTTGCGGCTTGCGTACGTGGCCTCTGAGGCCAACACTGCTGATGTTTTCACCAAGGCACTTGCGCCTTGTGATCATCTGCGGTTCTGCACTCAGCTGGGTCTCGTCCCTGTCTTTCCTCGCTTGCTCACCTCTTGACCTTGCTTGTAATCTTACATATATGTATACCTGCTCTTGCATGTCTAGCCTTATATATATGTACTCCTGTATGTGAACTGGCCTTGTGGCCTTGAACTTGTGCTCGGAATGTGTGGTGACTTTGTGATCCACCCTGAGCTTGCTTTGCTTTCCTTTGCTTGACTGGTCTTGTGACCCCTTGTTCTCCCCCACTTTGCCTATGGGGGTGTGTCAGAACATATATAGCTTATACTTTTGTGTAGGCTATAGTGGGGTATCCCATAGGGGGTACAACCCAATTAGGGTTAGTACTTGTACCCAGTTCATTCATAGTTCATTCATTCTCGTTTGCATTTCCTCAGGACGAGCGTGCTACTGCCGGCTACTACCTTCTCTCACAAAGCCTGGAGATGAACCAACGGTCACACGTGATGCACCTGCTGGAGGAAGCTGATTGCGAGCCACGAGCTTGGAAGGTGCTAAAGGAGTTGCACGCGCCAACCTCGGTGGTCGCAACGCTCATGCTGGAGCGTGAACTAGCGGCATTGCGCTTGAGTGAGGGGGAGCCGATTCAACCGGTTCTCGACAAGATGCGGGAGCTGTATGCGAAGTTGCAGATCGCAGGCATCACCTACCCGGAGCAAACAAAGTGCCTACGGATGCTGTCACTGTTACCCGAGTCTTGGCTGCAGTTTACTAGCGGGCTGAGTCTTCCTCAAAACGAGAAGTTGTGGACCCTCGAGTGGGTGCGAACCAATGTTTTGGAGGAGGATTTCAGGAGGAGGCAGCTGAGCTACAACCAAGATGGCGATGGCGGCTATGGCGTTCGTGCATGTTTGAATGGAATGGTATGAGAGCATGATATGATATATATATATATATATATATATTTCATGGTTATATGAATGCGTAAGTAATGAATTAGTAAAGATGTCGAAAGTGTGTGACGAGTCAATAGCGAGTCTCTACTAGTCGAGTATTACATAGTCGCTTGCGTGTCGTGTGCGTTTCCTATTTTGTCGTGTGTCGAACGTTTGGCGTGTCACAAGTGTATGCAGCAAGCCTTGAAAAACTCAAGGAAGAAGTTTCGATTCCAGTATACAATTCATTGTGGAGCTCACCAAAAGGGTAAATGAAGATAGCAAAAATAGTTCTATCGCATTGTATAGTGTAACTTTTCTCTTAGCTTAGGCCCTTATAGTAGGTGGTTTTTACACCCTTCGAGGTTAGAGACAGTGTGACACTGTTCCCCTTCCCTGGACCTCAGCTCAAGGGCTTTGTAGAGGTTGAAAGTCATTCTTAACTCACACATCTTCCTATTCGTTTCCTTAAGACCATGGTTGCTGCTAGACCGTGGTTTTCTCAAACTACTATCACTGTCATTGTATCATAAAATTGAATTACTCAACTTGCTAATTGTGGATGATAATAGGACACCCTTAATCCGATTTATAAAACATTGGGTGATGCAGTAACCAGGCCGCTATCCACGTTTGGTGTCGATGTACAGAAATCAGTCTGTTCACTATATATTTTGTTCTTGTCACATTTGAGCCTATTTTGACTTTAACAAAGCCCACGTGCTATCTATGCTCCCCTCCTAAAGACTCTTCCTATCGCTCTCAATGTCTCTGTCCCCCTTTCGTCACCTTCGATGTCATCGCTTCCATCTCTCGCCTTTGCTATCCCCCTCCTTTCTTATTCCCCTTGCATGTCGCTCTTCTTCCTCTGCACCACACTCTTCCCTCACGGCACCCTTCCCAAAACCTACTTCCCCACCTCGCATCACCCTCATTGATGTTGTAACACGCAGTGCAAGTGGGCGGAAGTCAACCGCCACTTCACCAACAGTCCCAATTGGTCTAGCGCCCCAATGTGCATTTCTGACACGCAACCTAAACTACACATTCACACAAGAACTACGAAACGGAGAAAAACCAAGCTCCAACTTCTCGCAGATTTTCACCAACGTCACCGATGAATCTATAGCCCCTAGATTTAATTCACTCTCCAATCCTGAATTGCAATTATTATCAGAATTTCATGGCAAGGTACGTTTCCAGTGGTAGAAGTTACCAATAAGATTCCGAGCGTCGCGACTCGAAGTGCGACTAAAATATTGAATGCATCATATGATTTGTACTATATGGCAGGA